GCCGTGAGGTCCTCTCCGCTTTGTTGGTGTAAGAAGGTCGCCTGTGCGCCTTTTACTAACACACATCACGTATTAGAATAATAACTATTTTTTATCACGTCATATCAGTCAAAATACTAATGCCAGTGAACACTTTATAGTCAACTTTGCTTTAAACGTGTCAACTTAAACTTAAATAAACGAAATTTGCAGTTTTTATGCTATATTGGCACAAACCATCAAAAAAAATAAAAAGTCGATAAATTTTTCTCGTCTTTGAGAAGTTCGAAAAATAAAATAAGAAAAATAAGGAAATCAATAAAAACTGCAAATTGTCATCAAAGTCCAAACTTTGCATTTTTTTGTGACGTAAATACTGCTCTTCAAGACTTTTAAATTGAATTATTTTGCATGTGATGAGTGAATCTTACAGTCAACTTTACCACAAAAGTATCAAGCTTAAACGAAAAGCATGGAAACTTGCAGTTTTCCAGATGTAATAGAAAATAAACGAAAAAAAAATGGATAATTTTTTCTCAGAAGTGAAATATGCTTAAAAAAAAAAGTTCTAAACTGCAAATTTTTATCCTATTACAAAGTTTAATTATTTTATAACAGTCTATCTCCAAATCTCCTTTGCATGAACCTGCATGTTATAAATCATTTTTATTTATGAATATATGCAACGTATATTCCCTTTTCTCAAGAGAAACTCAGACTTTTTTTTCATTTATCGTCTAATATTTAATCCATATTACCCATGCTTATAGGACTCGTTGTAGGACTCGTATTTATCTCGGTTAAAAATCAGATTCAGATATGAGTTTGGTTCAGCCTACTCCAACTCCCCAATAATGTCTATAAGGCTTCCGCGCTCCACTCTTGTCACCAGAGTACTAATCCACCAGGTGTCACCTGTGGTTGCGGTGCGTTGTTGTTGTTGTTCTCGTTATTTCGGAGCAAACCAACCTGTCAATCTTCACGCGAATTAGAACGATCAGGACGTCACTCGATATTTTCTTTTAAGTCCATAAACGCTAGAAAGTTTACTTTTACATTAAAGCGTCTAAAACATTTTAAATACTCTAATTTTAGTGTGAAGTGCCTTGTTAGTGATGTGTGGAGTAGTGAAGTGTTAATAAATTTAATTGAGCAAAATGCCGGCGTGTTTGGCTCCTGGATGTACCATTGGATATAATTCCAATAAAGAAAAGGTGCACTGTTTTACTGTCCCAAAGGATCCCGAACTCCGAAAAAAGTGGCAAGAGGCTCTACGCCGTTCTAAAACATTGGTGAACAAACAAGTGGTTTGTGCAAAACATTTCCTAGAAGAGGACATTCTCAGGACATACAAATTATCTAGCACCACCGGTGAAACTCTCGGTCAGGGACCTATCGGGAAGCCAAAATTACGAGATGGAGCAGTTCCATTTTGGTTCCCATGGACCGAATTGTCTGTTTCAGGCTCCGGCTCCGCTGAATCACCAGCATCATCGTTCAAAGAAGCTCACAATTCCACTTCTTCTTTCTCTCGAGAATCAAACATCGAAGGAATGCCGGACTTGTCACTGTCCCTCAAAGAGATGAGTACACTATCTTTTTCTGCCTGTGAAACATCACAATTAGATCTCAGCAATCAACTGGATCCCTCAATTTGTGAAGAAACTGGGCCATTCGCATTTGAAGCAGTATTAACTGGTATGCTGTCTTTGCCACTGTCGTGGATGAGGAGTAACTATACTACAGAGGATCAAAGATTAGCAACATTCTCGAAACTGAGTCTGATGAGGAAGAAAGAAACAGCACCGCCTCAGTCAGTAATATTGAAAGAAATTACAGTAAATGATAATTTAGAGGTAGAAGTGTTCGTATTGGGGAATCAAGTTGATAAATTTAAAAATCCAGAGTGAATTTATTTATTCATATCATTTTTTTTTAAAGTTGTCCTGATCATTGAGATGATTTTCTCGTCCTTTTAACATAACAAATTGGTACTTCATATACATGATTCCAACGAGCTTTTCAATAATCGTATTGCTCTTGGATCGACGCGCCCAACAGACCAGCGCGATGGCGCTGATGGCGCCACCAAGCGGCTGTGACAGCCTTGTACCACACTAAAACACTAAGTCGGAGGGAGCTGGTTTGGTTTTAAATTGTTTTAAATAACATTTACCATGCTGAATGAAAACAGAAAGATTAATTCAAACTAAAGATGAAATGAAAATTTATTTCCTACGGTGAATAAAGAAAAAATTGACGATAAAATATCAACTCTATCTGATCTGATTTTTTTTACATTGTACTATTTTCGTAGAAATCTTCAAAATCATCGGTAAAAAATATCAACTATTAAAAATTAATAGCGAGAAATGCACAATGAAGACTAATCTATCTTTGATTTCTGAAAGGAAAAAAAAATAAACCATGTGAATGCGTTGATTAATGATTATTAGATATTTAGAAAGAATTTGAGAAATAATCATGACAGATTTTTTAAAAATTAATATAGAGGAAAATTACAAAGTTTATAATGACAGTTTTGAAAATGAAAAAAAAAAGACTAATACCTTTCCATCATTTCCATGCGGTACGTCAGATGCTTCTCTTTTAACACTCGTCAATGGAGGAGCCTCGACTGCTTCATCCATTTCATCCTCCGTCATATTTTCAACCCCAGGTATGATTTCGATGCAACTCATGTCTTTTGCATGCATAATGAGAGCGTCACCACGACGGTTAACTGTTCCTTTAACAGAAACTTTTATTCCTTCGACCAAATCATCTCTGGGGACGAAAGCTGTAACGTGGATATTTAATCGATGAACAGCAGTGCAAATCATTCCAGCTCCGTAGCTGGCACCAGTGGATGTGCTAATACCCCTGAAGTGCTCCTTAATCCATCCTGTCACCATAACGGAACCGCGAGCAGCATAAATATTTTCCATTTCAATTGACTCGTAATGAATGGTTTTGTTCGTTTTCTCAGTAGCACCATTTGCTACGTCAAACTGTCCCAAAACTTCTAATTCACTTCCAGTGCCATATTGAAACTCATTCTCACAGACGGTGTCTCCAGATGTGCGGAATCGAGGGTTAGAAGCTCTGATTATTCCACCAGTTATCTTCAAAAACTATTAAAAAAAAAGTGAATGATTTTCTGTCGATTGTTGATCATAACGAATCTTCAATGGAAAAAAGCTGTGCATTTTCTACATTTAATTAAAAAAAAAATTCCAATGAAAAATTTTTTTTCTCCAAATTCAATTTAATTCAATTTATGTTCCTTTTTATCAGGTAATAAAATGAAACGATTAACACTGAATTTACCTGGTACATGAGAATCTCTTTGTTGAATTTCAATGCGTCATCCCCCCAGAAGAGAAGGGGAACTCTTCGACCAGTTTTGTTATTAATAATGCATTTAAAAAGCCATTTTGATGGCGAATTCGGCAATTCTTTCAACCCTTCCAGAGTATCAACATACCCAGAGATTTTCCTACAACAATAACTTTAAAGGTTAAGAACCACTTGGAAAATTGACTAAATTTGACGATATTTTCGATAAATACTTACATCAACGTAGCTCCTGGGTTGAAATGATCAATCGCCTTGTTGGAAGTAAACTTGAAATTCATGGATGGCATTGTTTGTTAGCGATTACTTTTCGCTTTTTCAATAACAAAAAGACGGTACAACGTGGTGACGCCGTTGCACAATAGTTCAGAGCGGAAGACGGAACTATTGGATATGACATGATCACGTGATCATCAAAAAGATATATTGGGACATAAAAACGACAGATGTCGTTTCGGCGTCAATTCTATGGATATTTTATTTTAATTCTTACGCTTAGACATCTTACGGTCATTCGAGATATTTCGAGAATTTCGAGATATTTCAGGATATTTCGAGATCGATTCCCTTTTCCTTTTTATATTAGGACTAGCGATTTCGGTAAATTGGTTCCTCTTCATTGATCCCTGTCGTTTTCATTTTGCGGTTTGGAAAAGTAAAAAAGGAGAACAAGGAAGCTCCAGAATTCGTAGAAGCCAAAAAATGGAAAGTCACTGCAGGCATAGCCATGGGAAATAATCATGTACCCCCCATCCACAAGATTTGTCCGATTCGTAGTCCGAGCTCCAAAAGTTTTCGAAACATTGTACCACGCACACAGAAAACAGCCATTATATCATTGAGGCCGATGAAGGCGTTTCTAACCTCGCTTCGTCCGAAGCTCCAAACGTGTTTTTGGCCACAATGGTATAAAATAGCATCATAGCCACGGCCAAAAAAGTGATTCTGACTGATGCTCTTTATAATCTTTGCCTTCGGCTCGGGCTGTAAAGTCGCATTCATCGGGTTCACTTTTTCCGGTCTAGGCGTGAAAAAGACTTTTTGCAGCCTCTTTTCAGGAGGTAAGATGGCATTTTTCCACCTCGACGGCAATCGGCTATTTGCAGTACGTTAAAACCACTTTAATCGTACTACCCCCACTGCTCAGTCTGAATCAGAGCATTTTCCAGAGTGAACACGACGTGAAGTGAGTCGAGTTCCAGTCTCATTCTCATGTGATATTATTGTATCAGGAATTTGTCCAGTCGAAGAGAATATACGAGAGCTGGAGGGATCGGGAGTGAAACAATGAACTCACAAAAGTATGTGATTATTCCGGACAGCGATGAAGAAGGCGACAAATCTCAAAATATGTTCGATGGTGAAGCCACTCAGAATTCAACGTCGAGTGTTTCAAGATTATTACTTAGATTATTAATGGATACGTTTTTCTCCTAAAGTTCACATGTTAAAATGAAAAAAATACGCGAATAGTTTAGGTGATTCATTCTGAATTTCGGATAGAAAAGTTAAATCATGTCATTTAATTAACATTGAAACAAACCAAAAACTAGAAATATCATGTGCAGTGTACTTAAAAGTACCAATAATTAAAAACTGCAAATTACTATGTGATTCTGAAAAGTCCAAAACAATTTTTGTTATGATCAAATTTTGTAAATATTGTTGATTTCGTTTCTTTTAATGGGGGGGGGGGGGCCCCCCCCCCCCTCCCAATCCCCCGTCACGTCGTCCCAGCCTCTCGCCTCAGCACCTTCTCGGAATTGGGCATTCGTGAGAAAAAATAGTATATGTTGTGACGAGGCACTTTTTTCCAGCCCTCCCCTGCCCCCTAATAATTACTTTTTTTTATATTCAATTAGATATAAGTACTTAAATATTTTAATCCGTTACGGCGACGAGGTTATAAAACCTGTCACCGTTGGCTCCCACTCCCAAAAATATTCCTTCCCCTTGCCCCGCGCCCTTCCTCATCACTACACTCACGCCCGGCAGAGACATCATTGGCGAAAACGGGAAGCCCCCCCGCACCCGCCGTTCCGCTCGTCACCACACGCGGCGCGGTGAACAACCACCGAAACCCACCACTCCTACGTCACAGCCCACGTGACCCGGAAGAAGGAAAAAGAACATATATTAACATATTACGACTAATAATTAGGACGAGGACACTCGATGACGACTGTCCCCGATTGACCCCGATTATCACCGATAATCGGGGAAAAACGAGCACGAGTGATACGACGCCATCACTGGTCTTACAGCTGCCCCGTGCGTAACCGTATGTTTTGAGAGATTTTTTTTGAGAGATTCTTTTTCGGATAGTTTGGGAGGAGTTGTGCGGAGATTTTTTGGAGGAGTGTTTTTGGAGAATCGTTGTGGAGGAATTGTTGTGGAGGAATTGTTGTGGAGGAAGTGTTGTGGAGGAATTGTTTGGAGAATCGTGGGGAACGTTGTGGAAGAGTGCCCGTGGAAGAGTCGAGACAGACCCAGGAGTGAAGACGAGGAGGACAAGGATAGACGTTGTGGCGATTATTTTGTGAAGGAGTGTCCCCGTGTCCGGAGGAATTTTGTTGTGGAAGGATTAGAATAACCGCCATCCCCGTCAGTACCCTTTATTACCTTTCTCGCCCCAACAAAAATCAACGAACCCCCTGTAAGATTATTCCCCCCAACGGTGAGCCTCAACATTCACTGACCATTCGTGTAATTGTGCAGAGTCGGTATCATTGTTGTAATGATCATAACTGAATATAATCTGATATTGGAATCGTCCCCAATTATTTGACTTCCCCCCTTTTTGTTTTTTTTCTTTCTTTTTTCGGTATATACTATTCTTTTTATGATTGTTATTATTCACCGGTGTGTCGCAAGCTGGCTGGCCTTACCCCCCACCCTTGATTAATTTTGAAGAAAAGGCCTGAAATTATACTGTGAGAATTGTTACATTAAACATCCAAATGCTTATTATTATATATTAGAATATAAGTAATTATTCACCCCCCCCCCCATTATCATTTCAGGTCCCTCCCCCAGTAAATTCTTGAATAGAATTATTAAATTCATAAATTACACATTTATCCCAGCAATATCGTGTCTTCACCGGGAATTAATCCAGTTAATTCCCCGGTCAAGGTCACAATGTCATTCGGCTGAAATCCTCGGATTCCACACGATGTTCAGGTGATGGCCCTCAGCTTCGCCTCGCCATGCCTCGTGCCCGAACATGCCTCGTGCTACCGCCTGAACATAATCTGGAAAAGCCGCGGATTTCAGCGTTATGAAATAAGATACTATTCTACGCCTTCAGTTTAGAAGAACGTTTTCTCAGGATCGTAGAAAACAATTATCTTCAGAAGACCTTGCAGAAAATTGTCTTCCGAAGATGTAAAAAATACAATATCTTTCGAACATCTTGCAGAGAAAAAGACCTTGCAGAAAATCGTCTTTCGAAGATCTTAAAAAAATCTGCAAAAGATCTTCCAAAATTATCTTTCAGAGAGCTGTTGGTTGTCTCCAGTAGACTTTGTCTCCTAAAGAGCTTTTTGGCTCACCAAGAAGATGGACGGAAGAATCTTTCAAAAATTCTTGCCAAGATGTTTGAAAGATATTCCGAAGACACTTTTTTTTCTACGCGGGTGATAGTGGCCTAATTTTTATATTATTTTTAAATACAACAACCGTTTGAAGCACGTACGCTGGAAATATTGTATACAACTAAACACACTCTTTTTTTCACACAAGGAGAATAGTGAAACCACGTCGATATTCACATTTATTAGAATATCGGTTTACTTTGCACCAGCGTAGAATTGTTGAACCCTTGTTTTCACCCGTATGTTCTTTCGTATTTTTTCCGAAAAATTCGTTCAAAAATGAAAATTTAAAAAAAATTGCAGAAGTTCATGTTTTGAAACAGTTATGGCTATTTGAAAATAAAAAATCTAATTTTTTTGGGTTGGGTAGAAAAATTTGTAAAAATTCTGAGAAACATTTCTCATGAGGTCGAAAAGGGTGGAAAAGGGTTGGGCTAATCGAAAAATCTTTCAAATAGAAGTTGTAGGGCTCCAAGTGGGAAAAATAATGAGATATGTTTTGAGCATTTAAGTCTTGATGTTTTGATGCTACAAGCTGTGACCTTGGCCGGGGAATTAGAATATAATGATTCCCGGCGAAGACACGATATTGGGGAATTTACGATATTTTGAAAAATTAGGGAAATTGATTATAATTTACGGGAGGACCTGCGATAATGGAAACGGGGGGGGAGGGGGGTTGAAATGATTACTCGGAGGGACTTATGTATTGACTATCTGTATTCTGATCTCATAACACAATATTAACACAAAAATAATCCGGGCCTTTTGACTAATAACTCGAGGGCGGGGGGGTAAGACCAACTCACTTGCGGCTACGCGAAATATTATATAATAAAAAGAGGGGATGACGCTAACTCTGGGAAAAGGGGGAGAAGTGAGGGGGGGCCTACTGAAAAGGTGATCATTAATAGGGTGCTTAATTTACAACTAACACGAATGTATTGGAGGCTCACCGTTGGGGGGAAAATAACACGGGTAGGGAAATT